TAGAGCTTTTAGGAATCGCCACACTGCTTTCCACAGAGGTTGCACTAGTTTACACTCCATTTTCTTGATGTATGTTCATAGAGATATTAATTCCCCTCTTAGAACTGTATTCATGCCAACCCAGAGGTTTTGGTAAGATGTTTCTTCATTTTCATTTGTTTCCAGGAATCTTTTAATTTCTGTTTTGATTTCAGTGTTGACCCAGTAGTTGTTCAGCATCATGCTGTTTAGTGTCCATGTCTTTGAGGGCTATGCCCTCCTCTGGGAATCTTTTTGTGCTTTGCTTTTCCCATCCATAAAATGCTAATGTAGCAAACTGTTATTGGTAGTTATCTAGAAAACTCAGTACCTAGAACTTTCTTTCACTTTGCTTTTATATGGGAGAAAATACATATAAGAAGTAAATGAACTAATATTTACTTTATGTTATTGACTACAAGTAGTATTTACAAAATGTAAAACACTGAACTAGGCATTGTGTGAGATAGGAAAACAAATAAAAGTTCTAGACCTCAGAAGTATATTCTAAATAAGAAATCTGGGAGGAGGCCCTAGGATGTTCTCAGGGTAATTCTATCTCAGTTCTCTACAGAGCTGTAGAACTGTAGTTCTCAAAATATTTGGTCTCAGGACTCCCTTATAGTCTAAAATTATTAAGGAACCCAGAGAGGTTTCTTGTTTACATGATTTACATCTATCAATATCTTATCGTATTAGAAATGAAAAGTGAGAGATCTTTAAAATGTTGATTTAATTCATTTAAAATAATAACAAGCCTATTCCATCTAACATAGCATAAAAATAGAAACTAGCTATATGTTAAATTTGTTTTGCAAAAAGTATGGAATGTTTTATGTTTTTGCAAAATCTCTTTAATTGCCCTTGACTTAATAGACAAGTAGGATTCTCGTGTTCATTCCTGTATTCAGTCTTTCATGATATATTATTTTGATTGATGTATGTGATGAAAATCTAACCTGATACAGACATGTAATTAGAAAAAGAAGGAATATCTTAATTGCCTAAAATGTTATAACACTTTCTAAGTCAGTCACTTAGAAAATATTGGTTCACTGAGACATGCAGACCTTAGAAGTCTTAGAAATGTTGACACAATACACTATATGATATTCAAAAAAATCATATTCATCAATATAATCACTGGTCTCATTAGGAAGTTCTTTAAGTATTAGGAAGCTGTCAAGCTAACAAGGATGGACACAAGTTATCCAAAATTCTCAATTTTGCTCAAAAGCTTAAATTTCATCATTGGAAATAAATATGTCGGTTGTTTTCCTTAGAGGACAGATGCAGTTATTTTCATGAAAATACCTGCCAAATATACAAGTCTGAATAACCATAGATGACTGTCAGTCATTCTTTCAGACATAAACGGTGGTTCATAAGAAATACAGCTAGCTTAACTAGCATTTTAAATAGGTTTCAAAACAACATTCAACTTCTGTATGCTGAAAAGATGTGCTCCAGATTGAAATTTAATGAAATTAATATTTATTACTGCTTCATCAGGGACTTTTTTTTTCACTACAAATGCATGATGGCAAAGAGTACAGTGGCTACTAGAGAAGTTTGATACCCTGCCTAGATTCATGCTAAGGGGTCAGCAGTTTTACATAGCTTTGCTGGCCACCAGTACAAATGCCTACGCAGTGGAAGATGCAAATAACACCTATCAGCATAATTATGAAAATAATTTTGACATTATGGATACCCTGAAAGGTTCTCTGAGATCCCCAGGTTTCCAAGGGTCACTCTTTGAGAACCACAACCATAAAATTATTTAAGCCCTTAACAATTATCCTAGAAGCATCACAACATCCTGAAGTGTTTCCTAAATCATCAGAGTTTAAGTTAACTAGTGTTTATTGAGAATATGGTATAGTACATCATTGTGTCCATCAGTGACTCAGACTAGATTATTTAAAAGGAAACTTATTCACCAGCCATTTGGGAGCAATTGGAATATTCTGTTGTCCTAGTAGACTTTGACAGAAAGGAATGTTAGATGCATAAAAACAAATACAGTTGACCCTTAAACACCATGGATATTTGAACTGCAGAGATCCAGACTATTTTCAACCAAATATAGATGAAAAATGCAGTTTAGCAAGATGTGGCAGTATGCACCTGTAGTCCTAGCTACTCAGGAGGCTAAGGCAGGAGGATCACTTGAGCCCAAGAGTTTGAGGCTACAGTGAGCTGTGATCGTGCCACTGCATTCCAGCCTGGACAACAGAGTGAGACCCTATCTCAAAAAAAAAACCTAAAACAAATACAGTTCATGGGATGTGAAACTATATCTGGAGGGCCAACTTTTTGCATGGGCAGGTTTTGCAGGGCCACTAGTGGGACTGTGAGTATGTGTGGATTTGGTTATGTCTCGGATCCTGGAGCCAGTCCCCCACATATATAAAGGGACAGCTGTATTTACCTCAGAAGCAAGAATTGAGAAGTAGTGGGCTTCATAAAGTCTTTACTATAAGTTAACATTTATAGATCTGTGCTAATGGAAGAAGATAGGTCTGTATGTATTAAACCCAACTGTGCCAAGGAGAGTAGAAAATCATAGAAAATTCATTTCCTTCCATGATAACAGGGTCGTACAGAGCCATGAACATTTATGGTCATGTGTTGTCAACCTTTCCCTCAAAAAAGTTTAAACTTAGTGTTTCTTAAAACCCAGAATAGTACATCCTTCTGTATGAACTTTGATTGTTTTAAATTTTTAAAAAATGTTTTTTAACCTTATCTAACTGGCTGTCAAAAAAGTTATATTTTGAATATTAAACTAAGCTATGCTTTAAACTTTAAATCAAGTGTTTATGAAACAGAAATTATGTGTTTAACTTTCAAGATAAATTCAACGAGAGATTGATATGGGTTGGAAATATTTTTACAAATAAAAGTATGGTGCAACCTGAAGATCCTTCAGCTACTTTTCTTGGGAGGGAGGGAGGGGCAGCATCAGGAGGGGCTAGAGTGCTAGGGGTTGGTTACGTGAGTGTTTGCTTCGTGCTGAAGCGTCATACTGTTTATCTTAGGCTTGTGTCCTTTTCCATATGTGTGTTATATTTCAAAATTGTGTAAGTTTAAAAACAAAAACATCTGTATACAAAGCAAATGCCTAGTGCAAACAGAACTTTACTTGGCAACCTGTGCAAAAAAGCCCCTTTTGGACTTAGAGGAAAATGAAGTCTCATCAGAAGTCTCATTATCAGTTGTCCAGCTCTGCCTGTCAGTTGACCCATATCTAAATGATGAAGGATAACATTGTTTTTGTATTTAATAAACTTGAGAAACTATGGGCTCTGGAATGGGGTAAAGGAAAAAAAATTGTTCCAGAGAATATATTAATGATTTCTGTTTGTTTATTCAATGTTTCAAGGCTCATCCACTACAGAGTTCTACAGGATTTATAGAGGGCCTCTCTCGACATTTAATTTTAAACCTAATTTTAAAACCTGGAGAAAAGAAATCTGTCAAAGTAAAGTTTACTCCAGTTCACAACAGAACTGTTTCTTCACTAATCATAGTCAGGTAGGTTCTATGTGGGTTGACTTTTGTACTTATATAGAAGGCCTTGCTTGATTTGTTTCAAGATGAATTTATATATCTAACTTATAAAATAGGATATCCACTTTGTCCAAAACATGCACACACCCCACTCTTAATGAAACATACCTTTTAAATTAAATTTATAGCTCAAAAATATGAATAGTATCTTTTTTATGAATAATATCTTACTGTACCATATGTGACTCTTAAAAATAAAAATACTTAATTGTCTCTGTGAATTTTTAAATTCCTAAAGTATAAGTGTTCACTTTTATTCATTAGTTTCTGTGTGTTTTTTTGTAATATAATAGTGGAAAGTATAGACCAAAAGATTGTGCACATTTAATAGGAAAAGTTGTAATTCTTGTTCTTGAATAGAAATAACCTGACTGTGATGGATGCTGTGATGGTCCAAGGACAAGGAACAACTGAGAACTTAAGAGTGGCAGGCAAGCTTCCAGGTCCAGGAAGTTCCTTACGCTTTAAAATCACAGAAGCATTGTTAAAAGATTGTACAGATAGTGAGTATTCCTAACAGTTCCTAGGGCATACATTTTAGCACTTGTGCTTTCAACAGTAAATAATTCTAAAACGAGAACAGTATTTCTGTATGTGCACACAGTATTTTAGTGGTAAATGCTCAAGATTTCAAGGAAGTACCATGTCTTGCTTTCAGGGTTGATTTGAATCTTAAAAGATTTAAAATGTTAAAAAAAAGAATTTAAAATGCCAATATTTTACCTTAGCTGATTTACTGTAAGTATGAAACATAAAGCATAATAAAGCATAATAAAACTTTAGCCATCTGCAATGACATATCAAAGTGTATTACTTCCTGAAATCTAAGGAATAGCTGGTCTCTTTGACATGTGGGGGTGGTTCATAATCTCTGGCATTTATCTGGTATTTACTGTTTGGATTAGGAATACATGATGGCAAGTTTTATTCTTACTCTTCATTTTTTTTCTCTAGGTTTAAAACTAAGGGAACCAAATTTCACACTGAAAAGAACATTTAAAATAGAAAATACAGGACAACTTCAAATCCATATAGAAACCATTGAAATCAGTGGATACTCATGTGAGGGTTATGGCTTTAAAGTTGTTAATTGTCAAGCATTCACATTAAGTGCCAATGCCTCTAGAGACATAATTATATTGTAAGTATTTTCTTTTAAGGTATAATGAATCACCTACTTTTTATATTAAACTTGTTCAAACTCTGTGTAAAGATGTGTTTTGTAAAGGTCTTTATCTATAAACGTATTGATTTTTTTTCACTTAATCTTTGACTAAAATGTTTCTTCATATCTTATTTTTCAAAGTTATACAACTTCCTCTAATCTCCAAAGTAGATCAGATAATCTTAGAAACCAATTTCAAAATTATTTTCAGGGCTGTGTTAAAGTTTCAGATGTTGGTATAAATTTACACTGCCTCAGCAACAGAGCAGAGATTTGTATCATACGTGTAGAGTTTTCCCATATTTTGTAGTATAAGAATATGTCATATTTTGGTGAGAATACAGTTTTAATGCTTGCATCAGTAATAGCATATTTTAAAAATTAATTGATAACTTATGTGATAAGCTTTATGTAATAAAATATAGCAGCTATCCCTTAATTAAATAATATTTTTATGATTGTTAATGGGTATTTACTTAATAAGAAACTACATGACCGGGTTCGGTGGCTCAGCCTGTAATCTCAGCACTTTGGGAGGCCAAGGCGAATGGATTGCCTGAGCCTGCGGGTTCGAGACCAGCCCAGACAGCTTAGCAAGACCTCGTCTCTACAATAAATAAAAAATTAGCCAGGTGTGGTAGCGCATGTCTTGTAGTTCTGGCTACTTGGAAGACTGAGGCGGAAGAATTGCCGGAGCCCAGCAGGTTGACACTGGGGTGGCCGTGAGTATGCCACTATAGTCCAGCCTGGGCAATAGAGTGAGACTCCAACTCAAAAAAAAAAAAGGAAACTGCATTACTATATGCAAGGACTAATGCTTGACACCTAAAGGTACAATAAGAAATAAAGCACCTTTCCTCAAGGTGTATACAGTTAACAAAAAATAAAATATTGTGGCATAAGCAATACTGCTGGAGGTGATGAAAAGATCACTAGGGCTAGGGTGGTTTTTTGAACAGGCATTATTGGGAATGTAACCTGGGAGAAGATTTTGAGAAGGGGGGAGGGAAGGAAAAGAATTCAGGACTACCTTCTGAATTAATAATTATGAGGAACTGATTACTGTTCTTTTTTGTGTAACTTCTCTAATTATTCACAGAATATAGTTGTTCCTGTTTATTAAGCATGGGATAATACTTTTTTCTTCTAAAAATGAGAAAGTCGAACAAAAGTAGCAAACTCAAATGCTGTGTTATATATAAAGGGTTATGGGACCACTATTATATTCAAACTGCTTGTGATATATTTTGAAACTTCACCTTACTATCATTCTGTTTTAGGTTTACTCCTGATTTTACAGCTTCTAGAGTTATTCGAGAACTGAAGTTTGTAACAGCCAGTGGCTCTGAATTTGTATTTATATTGAATGCATCCCTTCCATACCATATGTTAGCAACCTGTGCAGAAGCCCTGCCCAGACCCAACTGGGAACTGGCTCTGTACATCATCATCTCAGGAATAATGAGGTACTTGCATCTTGGTTTGGAATGGTATTCACTCATCACCTGACATGGTTTATCAAGTGCCCACTATGTGCCAGTCACTGTTCTAAGTGTTGGGATATGCCAGTAGACTGAGCAGGCAGACAGGACTCACTTCCCTTAGTAAACTTATACACTGTGGGAACAATACGGAACCCATCTTGGGTGGCATATACCATTAACAAAGTTTTCTCACCTTTGAAATTTGTTAATTTCAAAGATAAGATATTAAAGTACATATTAATTTGTTAAAGGAAAAAATGCTCATAATTTATCTGGTAAAGTTACTTGATTTGGGCATGTATAATTTACTGACCAATATGCATTTCTTAAACAGTACCTAGGCAACATGAAACTGATTAGAAATATTTTTTAAATCCTTAGTGTGTTTTGAGAATCAGATAAACTCACCTTTAAATTAATTTACATATTTACCTCACACATTCTTTAAGGGAAAAGAGTTGGGGAG